TTTGTTTACATGCAGGAATGTCAGCCAAACAGTTTGTGTGGATGCACACACACACACACACACGCACACACACACACACACACACACACACACACAAACCCCAGTGTTGAACATCACAATTTCCGGCCACTTGCCTAGTGAACATCTGGTGCTGAGGGACCAGGGAACCAAGAATTTCGTTGACCACGTAGCCATCAACTGCTGGAGATTAATTTCAAGATCACCACATTCATAACTTCTCAATAATGTAGTCATTAGCGGGGTTGGAGTTGGGTAACTCCTTCACATTACCGAAAACTTTTCACGGCTCATGCTTCCTTATATAGGCCCAAATTACCAATGAGAAACCAGATTATAAGGAGTTAACTTTCACTGTAAATAGAGTGAAAACTCGAACTAGGCACGCATTAATAAATGTACCTTACAAACATCCCATGTACTACTACCTAGCAAAACAAAACCCAGTCGCGATTTTGGTAATCTAAACACCCAAAATTTATGTCAATCGTTTCGGGAAGCAGTGTTTTTGAAATGGTGACGTCATTATGACGGTGGGACACAAGAACCGGCTCCAATTTTAACCACACAGGTCTCACGAATTTTCACGATTTTTTCCCCCGCCTAACATAGTGAGGCCTTGCTGGAATTTCATCGGAACGCAGTCAAAACCACATCTGGCAAGAATGTAGGCGTTTATTATTTGAATTGCATCGGAACCCAATAAAAAGTAATAAAAGACAGTGTGACATTTGAATTAGACTACACCCTAGCTAACCCACATGAAAAGCATAGCGTGGTTCACGGGCGGTCAGCGGATCGGCATTTTTGCATGTAATATTGACCATCCAGCGACCTTATAGCACCGAATTCACGTGCGTTATGTAACGCACTTACCGAGCGGGGCTTAAATAGGGAGATGACTGTTAGCCCGTCCCCCTTAGATAGCTACCAGGCACACGATAGAAGAGTAGCTGGAAGAACCGGATGTATTCCATACTACAGCATACAAACTCAGAGGACTAGAGCTTAAGGAGAGTTTGAGTGGGGAAAGGGATGGCCGCGAGGGGGGTTGGTGCTGCCCTCGGACTCACGGGCGTGCCTTGAAGAAGGCGAGGAGGACAAAGAACAGGCCAGACCGGCGTGCGTGGGTCGAATGGCGCGCGTCACAGTTATTGCAAGCCGCTTGCCAGCCTTAACTGGCATCGCCTGATCAAACATGACATCAGGCGAGCTTAATCAGAGTTTAATCCTACTTTTTGGTAATGCGATACTGGCGTTTTTTTGAAATGATGACGGTGGGACATAGGAATCGCCTCAAATGATAAATACACAGGTCTAACAAAACAAAGCTTCATGGCTTCACAATTGTGCACAAAAACATTCTTTATTTCCTTCCTAACACAGTCACCCTTAGCGGGAATTTCAGCGGAACGCAGTCAAAACCACATCTGGCAAGAATGCAGGCGCCTATTTATAGAATTGCCTCGGAACTCAACAGCAAATAACAAAAGGCTGTTCTACACACCCTAGCTAACCCATACGAAAATCACAACGCATTCGTTAATTTACCTTAACAAGAAAGTTTGTATTACGAGACTTCAGAAACTAATAAGATTCCTTTGTCTGATTGCAGGTTAACAAATTCCAATAATAACTCAGAGAAGTTGGTGTGCAAGGTATATTACTATCAAGTGTTTGAAAAGTCACTAGCGAACTGGTTCACGGGCGGTCGGTGGATCGGCATTTTGTACGTAACACTACATCACCGAATTCACGTGCGTTACCGCTGGCCGTTTGCCCGCCTTGATTGACATCGGTTCTGTTGATGCACCAATCACGGGAACCAAAGTCAGTCGTGATGAAAAACTAAGACTTGATTAATCCAAACCCTTCGTAGATCAAACATGACATCAGGCGAGCTTAATCTGCTTAAACAGAGTATAATTCTACTTTTTGGCAGTGTGATACTGGTGAAACCGAGTACTAATACCACAAACACTGAAATGGTAGCGGTATGCACGCAGTCTGTGAATTTAGACAAGACATCGTCTCTCTCTGTCTAACACACAGGGCACGAAATATGTTACTGAAGACATCTAATTTTCAGAATTCTGATTTGCGGTGTTGTGTTGGTTTCTTTCAGTTTGAGCTAACACCCCAATCCACAATATTTTTAAACGATTTTCAAGTATTTTCTTTAAAACAACCTTACCCAATGCGGTGGTCAAAGTTACGTCAAGTGGAACTTAACCAAACAACTATGGTACTACACACTCCACATATCTTGTAAGTCTCGGTGATTTCAAAATTGTTCAATTTTACGCTTAATTTGTAGGTGGCTAAAGCAAACTAATGACACAATCAGAAGAACAGGTTAATTGTGGGACATTGTCGTAAAATATAAGTTGAATACTTTCACAGGTCGACGCCTGCATACGCAACGACTTGCCATCTTAATTGACGACAGTTAACTTTCCATGATGATAGCGTGTACGTGAGAGACAGTTGGTTTGCCGATAGCACATTAACCACAGAATTTCTCAGACAGCTAGTTGGAATTATGCGTAAAATCGCCACTATCACAACTCCATCGACGGATACCAAACACACTTGTCACTACTACTAACTGTAGCCTCGAGATTTGAGTCGTCTGATGCATGTCCAAGAGGCTCAATGTCAATTTGGTGGTCAGTGTGGTGTCCGTCTTCTATTTGTGTCCGATTCTGCAAAGTCATCGTGAAAAACGCAGGATTTTTGAGCGTGGCATATTTGCTGAGTCATCGCGAATTAGCACAAATTCACACGTGATGGAACGTAAGTGCTGGGCGCACCACACACAAGTGTATGACCTGTCGAAACTCCGAGCCTGGAGTGGCCAACCTGGATAAAACTGCAGCGATTGCCTGTTCGGTGGCCGTAATTTAGGGCAATTCGTGTGCAGAATTTGAACCACCCGAGTGGTGTGCGCGTAAAACGTGGCCCTTCACAGAACACACAAACAGTGTACTGGATAATCGCCTGGCTAATGTGTCTTTTACTATTCCAATACAACTAATCACACATCAAAACACACATCCAACCGATTTTCCATATTTAGCCACGGTTAAGCGATCTTATGCCCCATGCTGTGAAAATTGCACACTTAGTTTTGACACAATGCTATCCGTGTGGGTGTAATTCACCAAGCTTTGAGAAGAAAAATCACTAAGTGAAGAGAGAAAATGGCATTTAATCTCACAAACATGTGGGATTCACATAAATCACTTCTTTAACCTTCGACCGCAGCGGAATCGAGATCCAATAACCTCTCGATCAAGCTCTGAAACATCCATTTGGCGTGTTGGAAGACTGACAAGTAATAACTGAAGACGCGTAAAGTGTGATTTTCACCCCGTGGACTCCAAGCTCTTGAAAAATTGTAGTGTGTAATTTGAGAAGACAATGAGAAGGAACATACGGGCGTAACCCAGGTGACAACCTGGGAATAAAAGGTATTCAAAAATCAACTACGGAATTCATGCACCTGAAATTCAAACTCGGCGTTGAGAGTGGAGGTACACACAGATGTTGTATTAGTGTCACAAGTCACACATACCTTATGACTAAGTCAAGAAAGGTTTACGCGCCTATCGTGGGAATGTTCATTTAATTAATAAAAAGGAAAATACTAACAGTGGATACACATTATCGATAAAAACATGTAGTTGGTGAAAGCCATCGCTGGTCTATACTGAAGCGAGTAGACACCTCACGTTGAATGCGCAAACCCGTTCAGGGGTGAGCTGAGCAATCCCCAGAATAGCAATCGTCAAGGCATAGCACAAACGCACGCTTGCGGACTAATGCTACTCAGCGTGACGCTCCCTATATTTGCATAAGCTGGGACCTTGTGGCGAGTAATGGCATATTCGAGCTTCTCGTCTTCTTCCAGTGGAGGTTTCTTTCCGCAGCAAATGCCTAGAACGCCGTCTCTGGGTGTCAAACTTTGGCTAGATGAGACCACTTCACCACAGTTGCCTGAGAACGCCTGCCGGACCGCGGCCACGCTAAGAAATCGGACCGTCTCGCCGAGAACGACCTAGCGGATATACCAGATGCGGGCTAAAGGAGCCTAGGGAACTAAACGTCTGTGTACATTGAGGCAGTATCGATTAGCCCAAACTAAAACCGCAGTACAAGGAGCAAAGGTCAAGTACGGCCCGAAAGCTGAACTAAGTATAAAGTGAAAAAAAGCAAATGACTATTTTTGTCAGATGAAATGTTAAATTAATACGATGGGTCGACAATGCACTTTGAGGGATTGAAGGGATGCAGCACAGCTGACAAACAGTGAAGCTGAAAAATTAAGAAAGTTTCGTTTAAAAAAGAACAAAATGACACTCTGGATGCGGAAAATAGGGAAGAAAAGGCAGTGACATGTCAACTTCCTCATGATGAACTGACGGTCATACTCGATGACGAGATATGTGTGTGAAGAAGGCAAGTAGGTGACAAAAACGTGGGTATCAAGACGGAAGACTAGAGCATGACAGTGATGAACGGGATGGAACTTGGGAAGGGCGAGAGAAATGTGAACAGGGCTACCAACATACAAAACCCGCTTTTACCTAAAGTTAGATGGAAGACGTTAAATGCGAGACGCAGTGACTGTGATTGCGCGAAGCTAAAATACAGTATAAAATCTGCCACCTGCGCGGCCATTAAAAGAAATTTCGTCGGAACCAAGACAAAAGTATGGATGAAATGCAACAGAGAGAGGAAAGCAACACGGCAGGAGGCCAGGTACCGAGTACTCCAGGGGCAGTGAATAGAGCAAGACGAGTCTGAGGGAGACAGGCTTTAGTAAATTCGAGAGAGAAGAAACAAGAGGACATGCAAATGAACATCCATGCAATTCACAAGATGACTTGTCCAGATCGCAGCAAGGTCACAGGCTGTCCACACACGAGAAGAGGGTGGAGAAAAGGACGATGAGGAAATGTCAAGTCATCAAAAGGAATCTAGAGCGTTTCACAAGTTTTCTTCCCTTTTCGTTTAGCACGAAGCGCCGCGCGAGCTGCCTCTTCAAAGACTTCTCGTACGCCCTCCTTCGTCTTCGCTGAGCATTCGAGGTAAGCGTAGGCATCTGCAAAACACAACCGTCGACATCTCAATTACAATTGGGAAGCATACGAGGATAACGTGGATCTGAAATTGCCCTTACAGCATCTTCGTTTTCATTTTATGAAAGAACGAAACATGATTTAAGCATGGCAAGCATGTAGTCAGGCGGCAGTTTACTCACTTAATTTATCAGCCATCATTCTGCAATTTTCGGGTTGTACGATCTCTTGTCGCATTTTTGTCAGACCGTGAATTGCTGCGTCGTCGTCACGAAGATCACGCTTGTTCCCAACTACTAGAATTGGAACATTTGGACAGAAGTGCTTCACTTCCGGACACCACTTCTCTGCAAGATTTTCCAGGCTATCCGCACTGAAATAATAGAAATACCGTCAAGTAAATGAGAATAACGGTAGTCCGCATTAGGCTAGGTGGTTAGACTAGGGTGTGATTAGAAAAGCAGTAAAACCAATGATTTCTGGGACAATATGGTAAATAAAAAAAACTTGCCGAGATTAGAGAAGTGGAGGGCTTGAAAAAAACGGGCACTAGTAAATAACATGAATCGTCGGCGGGAAAGCAAGAGAATATTTGAGAATACTAATCAAGCAAGTTTACATTACCATTTAAGTAAGGATTTCGCAACATGATAATTACTTAATGATTTTCTACAGCTAGGAATTAATGCGGGAATTAAAGAACCAAGCTGACTAAGCGCACGGTTCACAATAGTGAGACCCATTGGAGAAAGAAAATAAGTAAACCGACTAACCTATCAATCGAGAAACACATTAAAATGACATCGGTGTCAGGATAAGACAAAGGGCGGAGGCGGTCATAGTCTTCTTGACCGGCGGTGTCCCAAAGTGCAAGTTCAACGTGTTTTCCATCGACTTCAATATCGGCCACGTAGTTCTCAAAAACTGTAGGCACGTACACTTCCGGGAACTGATCCTTGCTAAACACAATGAGAAGGCAAGTTTTGCCACAGGCACCATCACCCACGATGACGAGTTTTTTGCGGATGGTAGCCATTTACATAAAGGAATCCTGGTAAAATCCCCGGATAGGACTTCGCGCCAATTGAGGAATGGCAACCCATACAAACAAATCGACTAATGAACTCTAACTAACTTGACGAAATATAAATAATAAAAATATTTTAAGGCATTAAACATTATCTTTTAACGAAAAAGTTTAAAATTTGAAATGAGTAAAGTCCACCATGTTATAAAAGAGGAAATGCGTACAAAAAATAATTAGGTGAAATAAATTAAATCGATTCGTTTTAAGAAATACCTTCTTTACTTTAAACACTGCCTGCAGTTTGTGATCAGTTAATTTAAATAATAAACAAGTGATGTGTTCACAGTATTAATTTAATGGTGGTAGCTTGGGTTGCCTACAATAATATCTTCATTTTTGAAGTCGATATCATTCTCATCAGTTACATGTAGAGGAGTTTTAAGGAACTCCAATTAGTGTAAGCTTACCTGCTTTGGTATTAGGTTAGTGGCTGTAATAAAAAAAAACTAAAAGTGTATCCAGACATCATAGATGCATTTAGCTTGATGGAGGATGATACACCTTAGTTTCAAATTGCTGCCTTATAAAGGAGTGAAAAAACAGCAAATTCTTCAGTGCATGACGAAGGCTTAAGCTCGTCCAGAGAGCTTCTACTGTCACAGCTAGCGGCAGAGTAAAAGCCGAGATCAAGGTGAAATTCGTCGAGCTCCTTAATGATTTTGGTTCGATAGGTTATAATTAATTTTCAGTAAGTTAATATTTGTTGGTGCAAGAAATTATGCAACGTGACTCTAGAATAGCTGCCACATGAACAGAGTTAAATGACTAGAAGTCACAAGTCTTAGATTTACTTATGATGTCGTGGTGAATATTGACATCTTCAACAAAGACTGGTACCGGAGTGGCACAAACAAACAACGCATAGCAGTGCCTAAGATATAAAAATGAGCATGGTAATTTATTGCTCATAATATCTCTAACTACGTGTTCTCCTAGTTCGAATGAGGTCAATAATTATCTTTGTCGAGTCGTAAGCGCACAAGTGTCACCTTCAAGTACATTTAAACTTCAAAAATTCCAAATATTTTATGACAGATGAAAACGTTCCTTGTGTTTTTTTAGTTGGCAAATAACCTTTTAATGTTGAAGCAACAAGTTAGAAAGCGGTACTGATCAGCCTGATTAGTTTGAATGCATCAAATATATTTTTTGGACAAAGCAAAACATTGAAAAATTAAATTAAATTTCATCTATCCACGGTAATATGTATCTTCGTCAAGAGTTGTTCTGCTATGCAATGAAATTAGTCTTTAAAATAGATAATAGGTGAAGACGCCCCACAACGTGAAGCTGATTAACAAAACGATAATTTTAACCATTGGAATACAAAATATTCCCACATATCTAAGTAATAGATTCTGTTTCTATATTCGATATTAGTCAGACATCCGCATGCAATACCACACTCCCTTAAACAGTGATTCGCAAATCGAAGTAATTTAGGCACAACATTGCTTTTCCGCTATGCCTATGTTGGTGTTTTTTACACCACATTATAGCGTTATTGCAATTATCGAGGGGTGCACAAGCAATAAACTGTAAAAAAATATAAGTTAATTCTTAGGTTAGCATTATTTACGCAAGTCCCTCTAGGCATCTCGTTAATTTGCATAAATTAGTCTGGATCTTTTTTTACATTGACGTTTGAACTACGTTTCAATGGATCGTATACTGTTTTGCAGACTAATTTGAGACAAGTTAACATCTAAATCAAATTGAATCAGCAAACTTTACTCTACGACTAGAGTTGATTTCAAAGCTCTCTCATGTTACCAGCGAACTTGATCTGCCTTTGACTGGTCACTTGATGACCAGTGATGCTCCGAATGCAAACCCCATTCAGTATGTCGTCTTGGTGATAATTATTAGGGGAATCACTAGCTGTGAGTCGTGGTGCTAATGTAGTTATTAGGTAAGAAGACATTGTTGCTTAATTCATGCCTTAGCTGACTATGAATATAAGTGTCACGTTAAACTAGGATCTGAAGTGCAAGCTAAGTTAATAACTGCCGGTCATCCACCGTCGTGTACATCATGATGACATATAATCGCTGCATCTTGTTGACAGTATTAGTAGGCGGAAGAAAAACGTTAGTGCAGCCACAACAACCCAATTGGATTAAAAATTAATAGATTTCGTCAAGACGACGCTGATGACCTATTTGAAGGGCATTGGCAGCTTCGTGGAAGTAGAATGCCATGGCAAACAAGTGCGTGCACAAACGCCACCAACTCGCAAACAAGCGTAATGTCACAACCAGTAGAAAGTCAGTTTGTTTGAGTTTTTTTCGTACTGTGTTGCAATAAGCATTCGTCTAATGCCAAAGTCAAAGAGCCACACAATCCGATGTTGCATTTTAAAATTACTGCAAGAAGCACACTTCAGTGAGATGTAGCATTTATTGATATTGCAAATAGTTTACTCATGAAATGTGAGTACAGATGGAAGCACCAAAATTATTACAGCAAGTGAAAATGTACATAATGCGTGTTGGAAAGTTGGACGAGTGAGGTAATAAAGGTGAAGAAAGTTATTTGTGTTTGCAAAGAAGAAAGTATTTAACCAGTCAATTAATCTAAGTCTACAACTACCTCTTGGCGTAATATTTAAAAAATACCGCCAGACAAAAATTAAAACAACATCATACACACTAGATAAACGTGATTAGATAACTCACCGCACTTGGCAAACACTAAAGTAGAAATAAAAAATGATTAAAATAATTCCTGGGGACTAATACTAGCTAGTATGGACTTGAATATAATGGACCTGCTAGAGCCGACATGCAAGTGTGGCAGCACTAAAGAAAAATCAAGGGACAGTGGAAATTAAAAAAAATAGCTACTCATTAGTCTACACTCGAATAACGAGAGTTCATATCTAAGAATCATGGGGCACAAATTACAGTATATTTTACCAACAAAGCTTACATTGAAAACAGTATGCTCGCAAAGTCACACCTGGAACGGTATCTTCCACCAACTCGATTGCAAATGGCTTTGGCACCTTCTCGTAGCAGTCACACTGATTCTAAATACATAACATAGCATTTCAAACAAGCAATGACATAATTAAGTAGTATGATTTGTGGGCAAATGCTAAAGCGTAGATTCTCTTTTCACCATACTGCAACGGTTATTTTTCGCAGTGTTACATTCACATTTGTCCCTAGGTCAACAACAGACAGGCATGATTACTGCCGTAAGTAAAAGGTTTATCGCTCACTAAAGGCAATAACTCTAGCTGTTTAAATTAAACAATAGTAGATCAGCAATATGAAAGATTCGATGTTGGTAGTAGTATTGAAATAATCACTATTAATACAGTCGTGGCAATTTAATCATAATGCAATTGTTAAAAGAAATGTTGGCATTGGTTAAGACCAAACTACCAAACGCTTGGCAAGCAACTAGTGTTTAATTCAAGTGCCATCGGTAGGCGTGCTTTAAAGTTGAGAATTAATAAGTATCTCCGAAGTAACTTGTTTTTGTTTCGCACATTACAGAAATGACAAAACCAGAGTTACATTAGCCAGATCTACAACCTGTTTGCGCAATATTACCGCCTATGCTCTTGTCGTAAATGGTTACAATTACCGTCAAAATTAAACACATATCATATAGAAAATGAAAAAACAGTTGGCAACCGCCACATCGCTTCACTGAGGCTTAACTTGTCCATCATCGGCAGTGACCAGTAAAGAATCGAAAAAAAACGCTCCAATTAGCAAATTTTTTCTTACACTTTTGTCATCCGGTGTCGTAGATGCGTTAAAAATTGCAACGTTGACCGTTGGTCGAAATTGCAGGCACTGAGCCTCGCATTCCTCTACGTTCGCCGTGAAGAGAGACATGACCAAACCATCCGTGTCCTTGAGAGTCCTTTGAGAACAGGAGCAGTCAAAGCCTATATTGAGCAATAGTGAGCATTTATCAACTTTTTACAAGAAGGCGGTTGACTAGGTTGTTCTAAGGCATTACCATGCCTTAGTTTGATTCACATGTCAAAAGGGCTCGTTCTACAACACAGCCTGTGCAGCCTTCACAAAAGCCATACAAGTGTTTCTAATTTTCCTCTCCACGTGGCAGCCACATCAATGATCCGCGTATGCTTTGCGCTCACATCGAATACAACACGTTTTAGTTACGCGGCGGGCTAATCCGGGGAAACAGCACCCATTTATGTTACACAAAAATTATCACTAATTTCTGTGTACAAGATAAGTTAGCCGACACATCCTGCTATTTCACCACTCTGAAAGCGAACAGGTTACTGAACACCTTCGACACACTGATACACTGATCTCTCAGCCTTGTATGCATTCGTGCAAGTGGGCTTAAATTTAGTGACAAGGCAGAGAATATTTTTACTTGAGATGCTAATCTCATCACCACTGCATGACACTTTAACTACTTCGAAACCTTGTGGCAGATGTTAATCACAGCACACTTTATTATCGTTATACGTTCCATGAGCACATGTGCGCGTTCCCTTTCAGAGTACGACCTCTACATCAGGCATTCACGAATCCAGAGTGCACAAACACTTTTTGACGTTGCAAGATTTCATCGCTCGGCGATTATAACCGTCTAAATTGACTCATCTTTTGCACATATATGCTTAAGGCGAACTTAGATTTTAAAACAACTACTAGCGGGATATTTGTAGCGCCATAGTTGACACAAGACTATAGGAATCACCTCTCCTTGACAAATTTTACAGCAGTTTGTTTAGAAGGCCATTCAACAGGTATGTTGCCGTAAATTATGAACAGAGGGCACGTACCATCTTCAAACTTGAAAGCCGTGCAATACTGGTCTGGACTTGCTGTCGACTGCTCGTCGATTCGTGGAATGGTCCCACACATGCACGTTTCCTGCAAATACGCAAATAATTAAACCTGCAAGCAATGTTGGACGTTTTAAAGAACCCAGCTAGTTGTACTTGA